CCTGGCAATATCTGGGATGGGCTTCAAACTGCTCACTGGGACTGTGGGGTATGGCCTAACATCCCTATGGATACACATTACACAGATATGCTCTGCTATTGGAAAATCGGGATCCACAAACAACTGATGTGTTAAAAAAAAAAAAAAAAAAAAAAAATCTGTCCAGACCTCAACTCTAGTAGTCCCATGACCATGAATGGCACCATGTGACACTTCACATCTGGGCCCAGACAAGATTTGAGGGAAGGGAGGAGGAAGGGAAAAAGAGGTCTTACCTGCTTTAGGGCCTCTCCCCTGCCCACAAAGTCTGTCTGTTGCTTACATAGTGGAGCATGCGACCTCCTCTGGATTTACTCCTGGACTCTGATTTTAAAAGTTTCAGCCACTGTTGTTTGCCACTATGTACCAGAATAATTTTCAAGAGGATGGTAGAACAAGGAAAAGTGTTTCTGATGGTCTTACGCTACTCATTATAAAACCTTGTTTTACTAGACCACTTGGAGGATTCCCCATTGGGAATGTTACCACTCATCTAAAGTTATCCTATTGGATCCACTGATCTCTCGGAAGAAAACTAGACACAAACACTTTTCAGACCTGGTCAGAAACCTGTTACAAATAAGATTATCTGATCATGACAAAAAAAAATGCATTAACATCCTGCATTTCCAACCCCATCACAAAGCATTCCCAGAGACGAGAACTGAGCCAGAGACCATCTAAAATTGCCCAGTATTGCCACAGAAGCAACAGGATCCAATGAAAGCACTTCAAAATGTGTTAGCACCATTCCACACTATGGAAAAGAGTCTGCACTAAGCAGCTTTGGGTTGCATGAACTGGTGCAATACAGGTGTGCACAGCACTCCTGCCAATCACAATTGCAGGTAGAGCTCCCCGCAACTGTAGAGGGAGTAAGGAAGTAAAGTATGGTTGGTAATCACATACACCTTGTATAGCAGATAGACAGTATCCATACATTAAGCACACTGGTGGGGATAGGATCGAAAAGGACATGGTCCCCTTTTGAATAACTAGCAGCCATGGGAGATGGGGAACAATTCTTGTTGTTCTTTGCCACACCATACTTTGGCTCCATACAAGTCTTACTACTCTGCAGAATGAAGCTAAAGTACTAGTCAATGTTGGAACTAGACGTTCACTTGGGAAATACATCATGAAAAAAAACATTTGCCAATGCAGGACTATAAATAGGAATTTTGCTGAGGAAAAATGGGAGCATGCTTAATTCTACTGAAATGTACTGAATCTGTAAAGAAATTGGGAGGGCCAGAAATGGAAATTATAAATGTTTGAGTGAAATACATGGATTGCCCATTCTAAGTATGAATGGTTTGCATGTTTGCTAGCATCTCCTGAAATAGGAGTGGTCAACCTGTGGCATACGTGATACAGGCAGCTGCTGTGCGAGGCACATGGCAGATCAGGGAGAGGACAGGCGGGACAGTGGCAGATGGAACAGAAATCAAAGCAGTAGATTGGGCAGGGAGCACAAGGTAGGAAGCATCAGGCAAGGAAAGGGGATCAGAGTGGCACTTGGGGAAGTGGGATTAATTTAGAATCACAGAAAAATTAGGGTTGGAAGAGACCTCAGGAGGTCATCTAGTCCAGTGGTTCTCGACCTTTTTGGATTTGAGGGCCTGCTCACTGCTGGCCTGCAGCCCCCAAGCCCTGCCAGTGTCCCCAACTCCCAACCCCCCATCCCTCCAGCCCTGCAAGTACCCTTCACTCTCAACCTGCAGCCCCCTGGCCCTGCCAGTGCCCCTCACTCCTGACCTGCAGCCCCCCATCTCCAGTCCCACAATGTGTGGGGCAGAGTGGGGGGTATGGCCCAGGCACTGCCACTCCGTTCAGGCCACCCATGCCATCCCTCACCCCACCTCCCCTCTGGCGGCTGGAGGATTAGGGCAGCACAGCGCCCCCAGTCTATTACTCACCACATAGCTGGCGGTGTGGCTGGTGCAGGGCAATGAGTCTCGGTGTCCTGCTCCACACGGTAGCTTGTTATATTTTATGCTTTAAAGTTGCACCTGCTTATAGAGTGGTGCATTATAGTATTGTTTATATTTAGCCTTATTTAATCATTGCTGCTTAAGTTTTGTATAGCCTCATTAACTTTTTAGTTTGTATATTAGCTGGCCATGAGTTATTTTTGTAGAGCTTATAGGGCTCGTTATATTATATCTTTTCTTTTTATCACTGTGAGAAGTTCCTTTAACATAACACAGCATGGCCTTGTTACCAGCTCAAATGAACTGAACTTGGCACTAACCAGCTGAATCAGAGGGATGAAAGGATTGGATATGTTAATTAAAGGTGATAAAGGCAATGACAAAGCTCAAAGTAAGACACCAGAAAGAGGCCAAATGAAGAGGTGTGCTTGCGATGGGTCTGTTGAACAAAGGAATATGCTAACAGGATAAAAATACAGACAGTATGCTGACCACAGAGAGACCAATCCAAAAGCAAGGAGTCATCAACAGGAGTGAAGCTGAAGAAAAGCATGAAAGGGGGGCAGCAAGAAAGTTAGATGTTGCTGTCATAACACCTGTCTGGACCCCCCCAGCCAATGACGCATCCTTTGC